CTCCCGCTTGTGTGGTGGAGGGAGGGGGGGGGGGGGGGAGGTAGAAAACATCCCTCAAAAGCCTGAGCTGGGCTTGGAGACCCAGGAGCTGCTGCCATGGAGGTTAGTTGAGGTGTCTGGGAAGTGAGAAGAGCTGTGTGGCATTTTGTCCTTGGGAGGGGAGTTCCTGGAGGTGGGAAGGCAGCAGCAAGAAGGGTTTAGACCTTGTGGGTGTAGTGTAAGCTCCTGCCACGGGGGTAGGGCTGCACTTTGGGCCCCTCTGGAGTTCAAAGCCACGTCCACTCCCTCTCCAGCAGCCTAATATTAACCCAATATTGTGCTGCCTAATATTAACCCATCACTATTAATGATATGGACACAGTGAAGGGCTGAGGTGACCACTGCTCTGGCAATTAATTTTCCTGGTTTTTACATATTTATGGATTTCATCCCACCTGCTTTTTTTCCTGCTCCTCCAGGAGAACATTTCCATCCTTCTTTGGTCCCTCTGCCCAAGTTACTGGGTGGCTGATCCACACCTGAACCAGGGAATTATTCCAGTCCTGCTGTCTTGTGGCTTCCTGGGATAAGAAAAGGAGTCTCTAACCATGTCTCTGATGATCTAATATCACCACTTCGTGGCAATATTTATTCTTTCTAGGGCTTCTTGCTATTTCCTGGCTTTTGATCACTTTGTCAATCATGTGGACAGGGCACTGCTCACCACAGAGCCCATGGCTGAGATGTGCTTGGGCAATCAGAGCTGGAAATGTGCAGATGGCTCCATCAAACGTCCTGAGATGGCCATAGATCAGCCTGACATCTAGATGATTTTCAGCTCCTTCCAGCCTGGAATATCGATGAGCCTGTCAGGGAGAGCTGTGGTTGCTCTGGCTGCTGCTTCTGCAGAGTTTTATGGTCAGAGCTCCTTGTTCTTTTAGGAGATCTGACCCTGCCAGGTGCTGGTGGAGAAGCTGTTGGGCTCTCACTTGATGCAGCAGCATGAAAAGTGCTGCTGGTTGTGTCTGTGAAGGCAAACTCAGGACAACAAGAGCCTTGAAGAAGTTTGCGATGAAGCTGCTGAGAGGATCAATTTGTGTCAGTTGCCACTAGGAGCTTGAGGTTGTGAGAAGCTGAATTTCTGTGAGGGTGGTGAGAGCCTGGCCCAGGTTGCCCAGGGAAGCTGTGGCTGCCCCATCCCTGGCAGTGTTGAAGGGCAGGTTGGATGGGGCTTGGAGCAACCTGGGCTGGTGGGAGGTGTCCCTGCCCATGCAGGGGGTTGGGACTGGATCATCTTGAAGGTCCCTCCCAACCCAAACCTTTCCTCCCTCCCTCCTTTCCTCCCTCCCTCCTTTCCTCCCTCCCTCCTTTCCTCCCTTCCTCCCTTCTTTCTCTAGTTCAGATGATCAGTAGAGACTTGGGAAACCAAGAAAATAGTTCTATTGGTTTTTCCAGATTGTCTTTCACATGCTTGTGTTCAAAAGCCAGCCACAGATTGGATAACAACCCTTTCCCCAGACGTTGGTGCTTCCCAGGGAGATTGTCATTGGGCAGTATTAGGAAGGCCAGCAGAACAGTGTTCTTGGAAAATTAACTGCAAAAAATCTCAGGCAAGTATATTTGCACCCTTATGCATAAGCTGTGAAAGCTGTCCAGGTTTCCTCTCCTTCACTTCTGCTTTCTGGCAAACACTTGTATTTAAAATATTTCCATACTCTGGCCAGGCACTACCAAAATCATCAGAGGTTTGGGCTATCCCCATTTTTGGGTCTTTATCTGGAAACATTGCAGTCAACAGCCTTGTTTTCAGCCCTGTTCTCAGGTCTTACCCTTCTTAGTTCAGCACACAAAAGACAAGGTACTGGGTACAAGCTGAGAGAGGTTGTGGAGTCTCCATCCTTGGGATTACTTAAAACTCAGATAAGCAGGGACATGAGCATCCTGCTCTATATTTTCTCTTATTCCTGATTTGAACAGGAGATTGGACCAGCGGTCTTCCAGAGGTCCACTTCAAACCAGATTTTTTTAGGTTCTGTGCTCTAATGGGCCAAGATATCAGCTGTACTCCAGGTCTTGGAGGAAAAGTCTGTGATTCCTGCT